TGCGGATTATCGTTTCCGAATTCACTTTGCGTACTCGCCATTTCGATCTATACACCAATCGTAGGTGATTTTAGATCTTTTATTTTCGATAGATGTTAAATCTTCGTTATTACTCCGAAACGTTTATATGTTAGTTCTAATATCGTAGTCATATGTTTAGAATCCTATACACATAAGGTTTCCAGATCCGGTCGGCAACAGACCATAGATCCGAACAAATAATGGCATATATGGCAAACATATAACATTTAGCACATAAAAGCATTTTAGGCATCTTTCCTAAAATAAACTAGTACTCGTGTCTAAAATATGGTAGACACTCATCTCACAATCATCACTTACCATTCTAAGTTTAAGTCTAGAAATCCTACTAATTTCTTAGTTCGCTTAAACTAATGCTCTGATACCAACTATGACATCTCCTAATTTCTCGGCCAGAAAAGACCGATTTAATTTATGTTTTTTAAAATAAAATCAGAGTAATCCTTTTAAAAGATGTTGCAGAATTTGTTCCCAAAACAAAACATGATAAAAATTTATCAAAACCTTTCTTTAAGAAATATATTTTCATTGCATATCAAAACCTTGGGATGTCATGTTCCGATACAGATCAAAAGCATAAACAAGACATTATAAGCCTTACGACAGTTATGTACAACTACTGGCCTATAATCTAAATATCACTCATCATCATCCGACTATGCTCGGGGTCCACTACCTGTAATATAAAAAAAAGCTGAGTGGGTCAGGCTTGGAAGCCTGGTGAGCATAGAGGGTTTTCAACCCACAATACATAAATTTATTATACTTAAACATCAATAAATCAACCAAATTACCCCAACCCCATTATCTTATTTATTTCTTAAGGATTTACCCTAAGATTCAACTATCACTCACTCCTAAGGATTCATCCTAAGGAATGGGCACGAAGTCACATCGTCACCAGGGTTTATACAACAGGCACTAAATCCATAGCTGCCAGGGTTTATACAATACGCACTAAGTACATAGCTCTTATTTATCGACAATATTATTCACAGGAATCTCCCTATCATACATGTCAATGGGTTTTTAGAGTACGACTGATGAACATATAGTTTACACACTTACAGGTTGCGAGCCTGCTAGTGTTCCACAGATCATCTAGAATAGTCCATGGTTGTCATCCATACTCTGCTGAATGACGGGGGCCAACGTTTGGGTAAGGGCTTTTCTCATATTTTCACCACTCACCCTCAACTCATGATCTATAGCACTGATCATCTCATTCATCCAACTCACCTTTCATCACACACCCACTATTTCATCTACCCATGTTTTACCCAACATTTTTGTAGATAAAAATACATATACAGTTTAAATTATTTAAAAACCTGTATAAATCATTCCTTCAACATCAATCTCAAATAAACAAACATTATATATTCACACAGCACGTAATTTATATAAAATACTTCATATCTATGTATAAGGTGAAAGTAACTACACACTCACTTGATTTAGTGATAATCGGACAGCACTTCGTTTCCTAAAACGTTCGTTTCTAATAAAGCCGGGAGTTTTATTGAGAAACGGGGCTCTGCAAGGGTCGGGCTTCGAAACCGAAAAGATAGTTTTCTCGGGCTTCTCGGGCACTTTGGGACGTGTTTCGGGTGCTATAATTGATACCGGGGCTTCGGGGGATGTCAAGATAGTAAAAATATTAAAAAAAAGGGGTGAAAAGAGACAATTTTCCAAAATTACCCGGGAGGTCTCGCACCCTTCTATTTATAGGTGCAAGGCTCCTGACCGGACGGCTGGAAGGAAGCCACGCGGCAGCAGATGCGAAGAGTAGTCACGTGGGTTGCGCATGCGAGGGTCCTACTGGCAGCTTCTAAGTAGACCGAAGTCTAGGGTCCGAGGAGGGGGTTCGTGGCACACCTGCGAGGCTCGGACACGTGAGAAGGAGGCACGCGTCGGACTCCCATTGGACCGAAGTTCGGATGCGAGGGCAGGCGACACGTCTCGCCAGGTGGCCTCGGGTGACTCAGCAGTTCGGACACGTGGCACCTTTTGAGCGAGGGTGACGTGGCTTTTCCGGGTGAAGCTTATCTATGCGAAATTTCTCGAATTTTGTGCCAAAATCTTCTAAAATTCATAACTTTCGCATACGAGCTCCGTTTTTGACGTTCTTTATATGCACGCGTAGGTAAAATTACGCTCTACAACTTTCGTTTAGACTTCGTCGACTAATTTTGAATTTAATTTTTATATTATTATTTTTAACAGACCGGGACAGGAAATCCGTTAAAAATTCATAACTTCTTCATCCGACGTCCGTTTTCGTCTGTCTTTTTACCGTTGTACTACTATTTACGAGATCTTCGATTCTCGTTTAGGTTGTGTCGGCTAAAAATCAATCTATCTAAAATTCGAGTTTTTAGTTGTCTACTGCTAAGCTGGAACTTGAAAAAATTATAACTTCCTCATACGAAGTCAGATTTGGACGTTCTTTTTATACATACTCTCGGTTTAACGAACACTACGACTTTCGTTTAGATCACTAAGGCTAAAAAGTAGTTTATCAAAAACTCACTTTTTACGACATTCGGCACCGTGCCGGTTTTGTCGCGAAACTTCGACATGTCATAACTTCTTCGTTATAACTCGGATTTCGGCATTCTTTATATATCCGTAATCTTTGTCACGACCACTACAACTTTCTTAATAAATATAGGCTTTATCTAATATTTATTTTCGACACTCATTTTTACTCTTAATTAATTAAATCTTAATAATTAAGCATAAAACACATAATTCACATAATAATCACATAATTCCTCTTCATTTCTTCAAAATGAGTTACAAAGGTTAACATAGACTATTATGTCAATATTAATGCCTAGCCTAGAACACGGGCGTTACACACATAGACATATACATCTACATATAAACTTAGTCGGCTCGACATTGATAATTTCAACCCACCAGTGTGGTAAGAAGACACGACTCATAGAAAATACTCAACTGCTACTGCTCTCACTGACAGAATACCGCTGCTACGCACCACCTATTCAGTCAAACTAGATAAACCCTTAAATCTTCCTCCAAACTAGGTGCTTGACCAAAAGTCAACCCAACTCAAAAGTTAACGGTCACAGTCAACGGTCAATGTTGACTTTAGTCAACCGCCACGTCGTCGCCACCTATGGCCACGCCGTGGCCCTCCAGTAACCAGTCCGTCGCAATTTTCCCCACCTCCACGGGCGACCTAATGCCACGTTGTAGGCAATGAGTTTTCAGTAGCTTAATGTGTTAAGTTGTTTTCTTCGATCCTAAGAGCTCCAAAGCTCAGATCTGGTCCGTAACCAGGTCTAGAAGGATAAAGTTTTCTAACTTTACCCGCTAAGACCATCGAAAAGGTTAAAATCTCAAACTCTAGGTTTCAAATGAGTTATAAGACATGAATTTCTGCATCAAGCACTTATCTGAAAATTCTATAGCTCACTTACTCCAGATCAATTTCTAATATCAAAACCAACATAAAAGTTGGTGTTTTATAGACATGCAAGTCCAATGCATGTCTTGAAGCCATAACAAGTCAAAATAAGGGTTTTTCCATGGAAATCACATGCATGGCTCAAAACCCAACTAGAATCCAGATCCACACTAACAACCATGTCAAATGTCTCAGAGATTCATAAAGTTGCAAACTTTACAAGATCCCATCACTCCAACCCACAAGAACATGAAGATTTAGGGAAAAAAACATAAGATCTAGCACTATTAGAAAAACAGCCTTTTACGACACGCAATGCGTGTTGTAAAATGCTCAGACGACGCGCAAATGTGTGTCAAGGAAGGCCCTGTCATAACGAGAGATGACACGCAGTTATGACACATATTTACGACGCTCATTTACGACATGCAATGCGTATCAAGGAAGGCCCTGTCATAAAGCAAGACGACACGCATTGCGTGTCGTAACCTTACGACGCGCGTTTATTATAGCCCCTGTCATAAATGAAGATGACACGCATTTGCGTGTCATAAACTTCAGCAACCATTTACGATACGCATATACGACCTGCCTTTACGATACTCTTTTATGCATAATACAAAAATATAGAAAAAAAATATATACCAAAACAATCAATTTCATCTAATAACATCATGTCAAACAAGTTATCAAAAATTTTAATACATTGATATTAAGGGGATCGGTTAGTACATTGTTATTAAGGGGTTTTCCCGAACTATATAACTAGATACTACATTGCTATTAAGGGACTCCTTGTTTCACAAGTCATGTCAAACAAAATCCTTCGTGTCATTGGTTTTTCCACCTGTTCTACCACGTAAAAATGTTGAACTTGGTGTCATGAAAGAAAAAACAAGCACCAGTTATGTGATTTGAACTTTGAATGATGTTAAAACCACCCTGCCATATGCTTTAGTATTGTCACATTAATTAAAAAAAGTATCATAATCAAATATTTAAATAAATTTGTATATTTTCTGAACTTACTTGGAGAAGATTTACATGACAGATTGAAATTAAATGAAAGTACACTGCTATGTTTTGCATTTGTCCCAACCAAGTCAATTACGTGCATCAGGTAATCCTTTTCCATTAGTATTTCAATACTTGGTGTTCCTTCATGCCATGGAACAAATATCAACAGTCTCGACTTGCATGAAGTTAATATCAAAATTCCCATGAGGGCAAAATGGTCATAATAATTTATAAAAATCTGGAAGGGCATTTTTATCCAACTTCAATAATTGAGGTACTTCATACGACACAGTTAGCAGTAAAAAGAAAAATCACATCATTAAACGATTGCTCAAGCAAGTAATACATGTTTCATCTTTTCTTATCATCATCATGTAAATGGGTAAGCAAGTTGCCAATGAGAATGAATGATCTATACTATTAGTATAATAGTTAGTGTGTGTGTGTGTGTATATATATATATATATATATATATATATTATATATAGTGTCGTGATCTCTTCCATTAGAATTCCATATGTAAACTTGCTTTGTCGAGTGAAATTCTGGTCCAAACAACAAATTTATCAATAACAATGACATCATAATTCAAAAATTAAAACAATAATGAATATATATGATTTACGTTTACCTCAGTGATATTGGTTTTAACTCCAGTTCTGTCAACCTAAATAGGAGGAACTTCATCTACTCCTGGCCCACCTGTGAACACCTGTAAACTCTAATGTTCTAACCTGAAAAGTATTAGGTCCTTGGCTATCTTTTGAGCTACCCAGCCTTGAAGCAATGTGGTATACTAAGGGTATAAACTTGCAAGACTGGACCTGAAAATACAAGTGACAAGTTTTAGTTATAAATCTTAGATCTTTTCCCTTGTTGATAATAGCAACTAACTTTAGTCGTCCTTTCTGTACCTCTTTGATTGTACTGAGCATCCCATCTACAACAATTTGTCTTGTGGATAAACCAAACCACAGAGATACAAGTCGAAATACCTGAGAGACAATTACAACATTTTTTACCAAGTCAATCTTTGACTCATTTGTTTGGAATAAGCCATTGAAATTGGATTTACAACTTTATTACATCATATTTGACCACGAAAGAAGTCAAAAACTACATTTGGATAAGATCATACCACTCGAACGTCATATTTGTCGCCAATGACTAGACATCGCTTATATCCTTCCAATGCTATGCTGAGGAAATTATCTCTATCTTGCTGAAACATTAAGGTAATACAGTTAAGATGACATGATATGTTGTACTTTTTGAAGACTAATTGGTTTTCTACCTGTAACTTTTTAGCCTCCTCTTTGTCCATTGTAAGTTGTTTTTTGCAACTCTTGTATTTTTACTGAATAATCTGTTTTATCACCCTATACACATGAAAAGAAAATGATAAATCTTCTGAAATTATGTTGAGCATGGAATGGATGACAAAGAAAAGTTTAGAAAACATTGGCTTGCCTTGGATGAATTCTTGAATCGCCTATAAAGCGCATCCAACTCTTTTGTCTACAAAATCGACTTCTGGTTATGACATTTCCAAACAAAACTTCATTTTATTAAAAAATTAGAAGAATTGAAATCTGTATAAATAAACAACCTTATGTTTTCTCAAGCGCATTGCTGCTTGCCACTCATTAGAGGTGAGTCTTTCCTCATAGCTACGGAAAACAGCATCCGCATAATGAGCAAGTTGGAAATGTGTTTGGCCTTGTCTTGCAACTGACTTCTTGTCTGTTGACTGGTGTTTGTCAGCAAGGTTGACCACGTTTTTCAGATACTTCTCCAAGATAGCCCTAGAGCTAAAGGGCATAATGGTAAAGTTAGCTTCATTGTCGTGCAATATTTAAGAAGACAAATTGAGAATATGGTTAACATTTATATTTATAACTAACTTGCTAGAACGTGTTTCAGCCAGCCATTTTCCAACTAGACGATATACATCTGCTGCCGCCTCATTCATTTTGCGATTTTCGGAGATGTACTTTGCAAGATTAATTACCATCTCATGTTGACCTTGGGCCCACAGAAGCTTTGCTTCTTCAACCTAGTACGAATAAAAATTATATTTTAAATAAGGAAAAATAAAAGGGTCAGTAATGAATAATGATGTTATAGAAACGCACACCCTTCCAAGCCAATAGAGTTTAAAATCTTCTACCTTCACATCTCCGACAATCTTTATCTATGGAGGAGAGAGATGAGAGAAAAACTCAGAGAGTGAAGAGTGAAGTCGGATTTAGGAGAATTTGTACCAGTTTTAGGGTTTCCTTCGGTTACTCCCTTTACATCTCCGACAATCTTCATCTATGGAGGAGAGAGATGAGAGAAAACTTGGTGGAGGGGGAGAGATGAGAAGGTGGATGCATCAATTAGGGAGAAAACAAACTCAGAGAGTGAAGAGTGAACTCGGATTTAGGAGAAGTTGTACCATTTTTAGGGAGAAATCGAACCAGTTGGTCTTCATTGTTGATCTTCTTTGTCGCCATTACTGGCTCCTGAATAGAGAGAAAGGGTAGGGTTTAGGGTGATTTGAGGAGTCGTAGTCGCATGTGTGTAGAGGTGAGCCTGAGCTCACCGATGAGGTGAGGTGAGACAGAGGTTGCCGGTGAGGCTGATCAGGTCATTGATTGAAAAGCACTCGTGTGGAATGGAAAAGCGTTTTGAATAATAGTGTTTGTGTGTTCTTCAAAAAAAAGCCCTAGAATGAATAGTCCCTGCGATTGTTTTTATAAGAAATTATTTAACCTGGAAGAAGGATTGACATGCAGCCTCACAATTCTTTAGGGTTCTTTGGGAGAGGATTTTAGAAGGAGAAGAAGGAGACACATCAGGCGGGGTGTTCAATTTTTTGAGATCATTTCCCCCCATCGGTTATTAAAGAAATAGAGAACGCGCCTTCTTAAAAAAAATATAAAACAACACCTTTACACGACGCGCTTTTTATTATAGGTGCCCTCCGTGTTTTTTTTTGTTGGACACTAATTTTAGGGCACGCAAAAATGTGTGTCCTCTATCCTTCAAAATTTAGAAAACTGACATTATTTTTAGGACGCACAAAAAATGCGTATCGTAAATTCATGCGTGTCATTGTTTGCGTGTCGTAAAAGGCTGTTTTTCTAGTAGTGTAGCAACCTATCTTGATAAAAATCGAGCCTTAGACACTTACAAAGGTCCATATGAGTGCCAAAACAAAGGATGAATACTAGTTTGCTGAATCTTAACTCACTTCTTCTTCTTTCTTCCTTTAAAGGCTTCAAAGAACACCAAAATGGCTTAAGGAAATTAGGGTTTCTCAGATCTCTAGGAGGTTGATGGAGGCTGAGGGCGAGCAAGCCCTAGCCTCTTCATTCATTTAAATAGGGAGAAAACCCCGAAAAATGGGGTTTGTCACTTGCTAGTTGCCATGTCGTGGCGACTTAAATGAAATACGCGGACTTATCTTGACTTGGCAAGTCATGGTGCCTCCCCACCATGTCATGGCAAACCTTATAATGCCAAAATTGGAAAATTTTGAAATACCTCGAGGTTGGGGTGTTACAACTCTCCCCCACTAGAGTCAGACTTCGTCCTCGTAGTCCGTAAATGCAAATAACTTGGGGTAATGCACTCTCATCTCGGCCTCCGGCTCTCAAGTCCACTCAGAACCCCTCCGATGCTACCATTACACATTCACCAAGTTCACCATTTGTTGCGTGGATTCTTTGTCTTTCTGTCAAGAATCACAATTGACCTTTGTACATAATTTAAGCACTCAACGACCTAAATGCCACCGAAGGGGATCACCGCAGAATCATCGGCTACACACTTCCATAACCGAAAGACATGGAAAGTGTTATGGATTTGATGGAGCTCATCAGGAAAATCTAGTCGGTATGTAACCTTGCTCACCCAGGCGATAATCCTGAAACGACCGACGAACCAGGGGCCTAGCTTCCTCCGCTTCCGAAATCGAATGACACCCTTCCAAGGTGACACCTTCAAAAGCACCAAATTCCCCACCTGGAACTCGAGATCCGAACGACATCGGTCGACATTACTCTCCTATCGACTTTGTGGAATCTGCAAACTGTCATGCACCTGCTGTATCAACTCGGTGGTCTTGAGCACCACTTCAGTACTCCCCATGACCCGATGCCCGACCTCTCCCCAACAAATCAGGGTCCTACACTTCTTTTCACGTACAACATCTAGAAGGTTTGTTGATCAATATTGGCATGATAGTTGTTATTATAGGAGAACTTGGCCAGTGGAAGATAAGTATCCCAATTCCCGACAAAATCTAGCACAAACGTCCTGAGCATATCTTTGAGCGTCTGAATTGTCCGCTCACTATGTCCATCATTCTGGGGGTGGTATGTTGTACTAAAATGTAGTTGAGTACCCAACTCCTCATGAAAATTCCTCCGAAACCTAGAGGTGAAGCGAAATACACGATCCGAAACCACCGACCCGTGCAGAACCACCACCTCCTGAATGTAAATATCAGCCAGCTTCTCGGTTGATATACTCTCGACAATCTGAATGAAATGAGCACTCTTGGTCAATCTATCAATAATTACCCAGATAAAGTCAACCGCATGTGCCGTCCTCGAAAACTTTGTGATGAAGTCCATAGTGATCTCTTCCCATTTACACATGGGACTGGGTAATGGCTTCATCTAGTCATGGGTTCTATGATGTTCGGCATTGACTTTCCGGAAAGTCAACCACCGATCCACAAACCATGCTATCTCCTTGTTCATACATGGCCACCAATAGCTCAACTTTAGATCCTTGTACATCTTTGTATCCCTTGGATGGATTGAAAACTTCGAATTATGAGCCTCTTCCAACACTATCTGCCTAACCCCACCAGTAATCAGGAACCAAACCCTACCACACTAGGTCAACAAGCCCCGACTATCTCTGAAGAATAATGGAATATGCCCGCCTTCCAATTTTCCTTCTTCAACCTCCCACCTGAGCCTCCTTGACCATATCTAAAAGTGGAGAAACAATAACCATCCTCAGACATAAGTCCCCAATAGGTGCACTCGTCGCCTTTCGGCTCAAGGCATCGGCCACAACATTGGCCTTCCTGGGGTGGTACAGGATTTCACAATCATAATCCTTTACCACATCCATCCATCTTCGTTGCCTCATGTTCAAATTTGGCTGATCCATCAGATATCTCAGGCTCTTATGGTCAGTATAGATAGTACACCTAATCCCATACAAATAGTGCCTTCAAATCTTGAGAGCAAAAACTACAGCCCTCAACTCTAAATCGTGCGTAGGGTAATTTGCCTCATGAGGCTTTAGCTGCCTTGAAGCGTAAGAAATCACATGTCCTCTCTGCATGAGGACAACTCCCAAACCTGAGATAGACACATCACAATAAACTACAAAATCATCCCTTCCCTCGGGAAGAATGAGAATCGGGGCCTCGGACAATCTCTATCTCAACGTCTCAAAAGTTGACTGCTGATCAGGCCCCCGCCGAAAAGTAACATTCTTCTTCGTCAAGCGGGTTAATGACACATAAATCTTAGATAAATCTCTTATTGTAACCTGTGAGATCTAGAAAACTTCGAATTTCCGATGGGTTCCTCGGAACCTCCCATCTCATTACGGCCTTAATATTGGCCGGATCGACCAATATACCTTCTGGTTGACGATGTGCCCTAAGAACTACACATAGCGCAACCAAACTTAATCTTGGCCGGATCGACCAATATACCCTTCCGGTTCTGGCTCCAACTTAATCTCCTGCTCACGGGCCCTCGCAATCATATCATTCAGGGTATTGCACCTCGAAAAGCTCACAAACTCTTTAATGTCACCCCTCAACATGTCATGATATCTCTTCTTCTTCATCTCCTCATCCGCAACATAACGTGTAACCAATAAAGCCCTCTCACGGAATGTAACGGTGATCCCATCCACATTATCAGTAGTTTGGTGAAGGTCTTGAAACTCCCTCACCAGCTGCTGCACCTAGATCATCGGTGCAAACTTCTCCTGGAATCTTGTAACAAACTCCTCCTAATTCATGGCCACCACCACTGTAGATCTCAAAGCTCGGGCGACCTCATCCCACCAGTCATGTGCTCAGTCTCTTAGAAGGAAGGACGCAAACCCTACCTTTTCCTCCTCAGGGAAAAAAACTCGACCACTGAGAATTCTCCATGTCAGTGATCCAGCAACGGCTAGCGATGGGGTCCTTATCCCCAAAGAACTCTGGAGATCCACATGCCTTGAACTCCTGAAATGAGGGAGTCTGTGCTCCTATCTGTCCTGCAACAATAGAAGGGCCCTGAGTCGCTCATCCATAAGCTCCATAATCCCCTCCTTGATAGTACCTAAAATCACATGGGTGGCCTCCATGATACCGCGGGTAATCTATGATGTGATAAACTCGCGTAATCGCTCATCCAGCTGTTCGACACCAGATCCAGAACCGGATCCAGAAGCTCCTCCTCAAGTGGTCACCATACTCAAATGAAACACAAACATATAAATGATCAGCATAAACTCGAGGGAACTTACACTCTGCAGGCCCCCTTAGAATCTCCAAAACTGCCATTTCCTTGAGAATAGATCATGTGCTTTCAGTAGTATGGGCCAAATACTACCTTGCACACCTATATGTACTTTCCTCAAGAACCATACTGAATCCTCTAAGTCACCACACTAAATCCATACATCAATCCTATGCTAAAAAACATACAAATCCTACTATGGCATCTCCTAGGCTCTCCTAGGAATTCTCAATTCGTCTACCTTTGCAATACTAAGAATCTCAACCAACACTGTTGGTTGCCTTATGCATGCAAGTTGTATACAAAATGGGATCACATAGACTTTTAAATAATGATTCTACCCTAAGTACACAACTAAACAACGAACAGGAAATGAGGTTAAATTAATCATTTTATGGCTATATGATCCTAATTGTATACAACTTTTAAAGCATAAACTTAACAATTACTTAACCGATATCAATCCCAAGTAACACATAGCATCCCATTCCCCTAGGCTATAAGGCATCACACAAATAAATCAATTCTATCATACAATTCCCGATGGTATCCTTAGCCCTATTCTAGCATGCAATTAACATATCATGCATACTAATCATAACATAGGGGTATGAGTATTTTGGGAATCACTTACTTGAGCTCGGCTGATTGCACGCATCGCACCCCATTTCTATTTTGTAAAAATATATTAGAAATTCATTTTTCTTTTAAAAATATTATCTTTCCTCGGTTTGAGTTCTGAAACACCCGAAAGTGTGCTCAAATCCCTCAAACCAAGGCTCTGATACCAACTTGTAACATCCCAAAACATTGATAAAAATTTTCATTTTCAAAATCATTAATTCCATACATCATATGTCTCAGAAACAACCATTATACAAACTATCCACAACATCAGAGTAAAAGTAATCATAATTGCTTAAACATGAGGGGATCCTGTGGCATCACGCCGGGCCCTTCACTTT